TTTTTTATTTTAATTTTATTTTATTTCCCCCCCTCCCTCCCTCCCACCCATCCCCTCCCTCCCCAGAGCTTTATGTCCATTATATGTGTTAGACTTTTATACAACTGGCAGCACAGTAGATTTCTTTACATTAGTATTACCACAAGCAGGAGTAACACATTGCATTACAGCACCTCTGACATCACTAATAGCAATTTTTCAGCTGCGTTATAATTTTAGTAGTGCCCCAGTGCATGGATTTGTGCACATTGAAAGGACATTAATTAGAAGAAATACTTTAATATCGCTATTTGCCCTTTCTCTATAACCGGTGTCAACCAAATTTACGATCGACAATGACTGATCGAAACACATGCATGTGATTCGCACCAGTGAGAGCTTTATTTATATGTATTGCGCATATACGAGTCAACTTAGCCTTTAATATATCCTATCTAATAAAGAGAATATGCTAATTGACCCTCACACCATCGCAAAAGATGGTGGTGTCCACTGCCAATTAGGAGGGGATATGCTAATTGACTGTCAAGCCCTCAAAAATGCCCAGTGCCCTCATCCCCACTGGGGCGGCAGATGCCCAGCCACTCCATGCTCCTGCCTTTGGAGTCCCCCAGTCTCTTCAGCTCCCTAGCCACCCAGGGCCGACCTTAGGTGCAGGCAAGCCTCAGATGGTGGCTGCCCAGATGCCCAGGGCCGCCCGAGGCTCAGATAACCAGGGCCGGCTGAGGCTTGAGCTGCCGGCAGTGGCAGCAGAGGTGTGATGGAGCGTCACCTTTCCCTGATCACTGGGTCGCCTCTCACCCCTGAGAGCTCCCGGACTATGAGGGGGCAGGCCGGGCTGAGGGACTTCCTCTCCAGTGCATGAATTTCCATGCACTGGGCCTCTACTATAGAATAAACTTGCTTAATTAGATCTGCTTTCTGATGTAGCTAAACTCTTTCCAGCCCAGTAAAACACCTCAACTTCTCTTTCAGGTCATTGTTAGCAACACAGCAGTAAATATCAACATGAAGTAGACTATTGTAGATCACATGGGGAGAACACAGAGTAAAATATTTAACTGCAGCAGTGTTTGACTATATTCTTCACAGTGAGAAAACCTGAAGTTATTTTCAAGTTCCACCATTTCTTCTTTTCAGTCAGGTCAAGTTTCTAAGCTTTCTAAATCTCTGTTTTCTTGCTTATGAAAAGAAAATAGGATTCCACGAAGTCTCCTATCTACCTACTCCAGGACTTCTGTGGGGATCAAATGAGATGAAGCATGGGAAAATGCTTCACAGACATTTGGTTAAAGTATTTGCACCTGGCTATAAAGCAAGTGGTGTTCCTGGGCTGAAGAAACTTCAAGAAGGCTGGTCACTAAGGAGAGGGAGCCGGGCATACTATGTGATGTCATTACTCAGCACCCATAATGACCGTTTTTGGGCTGGGCTGGACTGTGGGCCGCATTTTGTACCATGGGTCTTGGCAGCGTTGGCTGCAATTTGGTTGGCTGTTGCTCAGGTGCTGGTGGGGCCTGTGTCCTACTTGGGGGAAGCAGAGTGTTGTGGGCGCCAGGTCCATGGTGCCATTTCTCTGTAAATGGCCAGTCACAGTAGCTCCTGAATGGAGTGTCTGCCCCCTGGTGGTCAGCGCACATCATAGCCACCAGTCAGAGTACACTTAGCATATTAGCCTTTTATATATATAGACTAGAGGCCTGATGCACAAAAATTCGTGCCCTGGAGGGAGGGGTCCCTCAGCCTAGCCTGTCCCCTCTCATAGTCTGGGAGCACTCAGGGTGATGGGGGAGGCAACTGGGCCAATTGGGAAGGTGCCACCCCCATCACTCCACTGCTGCTGGCCCTACTTGGCCCTTGCAGCCACTGTCTTTGTCCGGAAGGACGTCCAGTCTATCCGATCTAATTAGCATATTACCCTTTTCTTAGTATAGATGGGACCACCTTCCTATATGCACATCCTTAGGTGAAACATCATGTAGCACTTGCCTGTATGACTATAATCGATACTTACAATAGGGTAATATGCAACTTGTTTGGGATGCAATCAGTAAGACTGATCCGGAGGGCAGGGCAGCAACCTGCGAATGGTAGAGTTACGGGTGGGTGGGGCAGTGAGCTAGTGGGGCGGAGAACTGCAAGTGGTGGTGGGTGGGGCAGCTAGCTGAGGCAAGTGGTAGCAAGCTACTCAGAAAGCAGCGAATATGAATGAATACTTACAACATCCTTGTAGCCTAGCAGGGAAAGAAAAGATCTGTATCTGAGTTATTCTAATGCAGAGTAGAAGGTGATCACTGAATTTAGAGAAGAAGAGAGATTAGATGAACTTTAAATACCTGGTAGTTATTCCATGACTGCAGTGCCATGGACTTTGGCTCCATAATTTGGCGATTGAAAGATTTTTATTTTCTGATTCTTAAGATGGGGTTCACAGTGTTGAGGTGCTGAGCAATGGTCTGTGAATAAGTACAGTATTTTTTAAATTAAATTCTTTGAGAAGCCTAAATTTTTTGTCTTACTGTCATAGTCTTAATGTTTTGTTTGTTTTGCATTTTTCTTTAGCTTCAACAAAAACCTTTATTTCTCACAGTCTAGAAGCTGGGAAGTCCCAGATCAAGGTGTAGGCAGATACAGTTCTGGTGAGAGCCTCCTTCCTGGTGAAGATAGTTATTTTCCCTTTGTATCCTTACATGGTGCAGAGCAGAGACCTAAGATGTTCTTTTTTTATTTTTTATTTTAGAGATGGAGGGAGAGGGAGAAAGAAAAAAAACATTGATGTGGGAGAGAAGCATTAATCAGTTGCCTCCCATATGCACCATAGATATGTGCCCGGACCAGGAATCAAACCTGCAACCTTTGGTGTCAGATGATACTCTATCCAACTGAGCCAATCCTGATACTTCTCCGTTGGTCTGCCCCATTTACTTCTCCATTCTCATCTCTTGTACCCCTTCCCACCATATTGGGCACTCTAGCCATACCACATGTGGCCCTTGGAGATAAACATTTTAGCTTGATGATTTCATTCATTTTTTGCCCCTTAACTCTGTGTGTGAGTAATGAATATTTGTTCTTCAATATTTCATTCCATTAGTTTCTCACTTCGGTAGTCTTCTTCAAACAATATCACCCCCTCTTCTGTACTCTCCATATTCTTTATTAGAACCCATGTCATATTTATGTTCTCTTTGCATAACTATTTTCCAGACTGATTTTGTCTGATCTCTTCTTGAGAGGCTATCTTACCAGTGCCTAGAACATAGTATTATAGATCAATGGTTCACAATGTGGGGACAATTTTATTTTTTAAGGGGGGCATTTGAGAATGAGTTGTCAGTGAATTTTTTGCATTTCTTATGGTTCTAGGGGCCTCCTATACAGTATGTAAATATATATTGTGACATATTTGTGCATTTGTTTTCTATTATGTGTTTTGAAACTTTGCTATTTTTTTCATATCACTTCATATTATTTTCTTAATAATTTCTTAGTGATTTCTTCCTCAGTACTTCAACTGTCCTTTTGTTGTTTTCTTTTTCTTTTTCATGGATGCCATGTTCTTTGAAAGTTTGTTTAGACCGAGTTAATGGTCTGTTAGGCTTCCTCCACGTGAATGGGAGCTCACTTTTATGTCCCAGGAGAGGGGGGAACATCAGGATTTTAGAGATGCTGTGGGTGGGGCACGGCCAAAAAAAGGTTGGGAACCACTGTAGTAGACATTCTTGAAGTTATTGTTTACTGGCCAGTAAAAACTGATATACCAAAAGGTTTGGAAACTTGTCATTCATTTGATAATTAGGGCTATATATTCTTTTACAAGTGTCAACCCATGCTCTTTGGCTAGTCACTTATGTGCTACTAGAAAAGAGAGCCTGCCAAACAGTGGGTATTGTACACACTTTTGACTGTTTCAACAGCTGGTATTAAATGTTTAGAAATGACTTATTTCCACCCCTCCATTCTGCCTCATCTTAAAATTATGCTTGGAATGTTTTCTTATCTAACAAAACACTACTTTTATCATTCATTTTACCTTATGGCTTCATGGAATTCTTAATAACTCTTTATTCACAGGTGTGTAGTATCTTACATGACTTAATAAAATTTTCTAGTCTTATTATGTACTACTCCCTTGGAGTGCACTTGTTATGTTAGTATACAGTACATTAACAAGCATACCTACTCTAGCAGAGTTTAATGTTCTCACAACTTGGTGGTTAGACAATCACAACTTTGTCAAGTGTTCCCCAATATTTCCAATACCCAACTGACACCATAAGTAGCTACTGCAATGCTATTGACTATATTATTTTTTGAACCATTAGTAATGTAATTCCAGCAGATAACCTCCTTTGTCTGCTGTTTGCATATTAAACAGGGTACAAATACTAGTAAGAAAATAGCAGATAAACTAAGAGGGCAAAAGGGTATCTTAGGAATTGACCCCAGATGACATTATAATGCTAAATTATTTCCTTGTGTGAATCAAAATAAAAATTCTATTCTAGTAATTGTATGCTTGTTTTATGTCTTTTGACTTTATAAGGGTTTGATTTTTTTTAAATTGAATCTTTCCTAGAAAGGTTTTATTTAAAAATTTCCTAGACCATTTTCTACTGTAAGTAATCTATTATACTCTAATTATACGAGGCTCAGCACCATAATATTGCATAATAAAGTTGTGTTGTAACCTTTTCTGAATTTTTAAATGTTAGAAGACATATTAACCACCAAATTTTGTGCACAGAAAAAAGAAATTATGGAGTATGTTTTTACTATAGAGATAGGATAGCAGGTGAGGTATTGAGAATTAGAAGACAGAACTCTCCAGAGGCATTATGATGAGTTTTGGCACCACCACTTTGATCTTGATTAGAGACCTGACTCGATGGTCTCTTAGTTTATAAAACAATAATCCTGAAGGTTTCTTTCAATGCTGACCTTTGATTCTGATGGGAGATAAGATATTGACCATCATCTGTTTTCATATGATATTTTAGGACCCAGATGAAGTGGTACCAGTTGGCCAGAGAAGAGCTTGGTGTTGGTGCATGTGCTTTGGACTAGCATTTATGCTTGCAGGTGTCATTCTAGGAGGAGCATACCTGTACAAATATTTTGCACTTCAAGTAAGTGGAAAAATACTAAGACCATTTTTGCCTTCTTCATGTGTGTTAGAAAATTGATCCTAACTTGCTCTAAGTCTGCACTTTAGTCTGTGGCCTGTAGCCAGAGCGGTGGTTCTATTTTAAAGCTGTGTTTGAGTCTCTTCAACTTGTTTGCCTAGCCTTTAGACAGTCTTTTAGACACACAGAGGAAAACACTGGAATACTTCTCTCTGCCTCTTTCTCTGTCATTACTTTCTCTAGAGAATTGTGTGACTTCAGCAATAATGTTGAAGTAACTTAAGATGGAAGTTATTTGAAACAAGTATTTAATAGTAATCCTAGTGGGTTAAGACAGACTTTTCCTCTGATTATAATTATCCCCTCTGTTTTGTGGTACATTTTTCTGGGTGATAATTCAGTAGGTTTATTGTTGTTTTTTTCTTGGGGAATAAGCTTTTATGACTACCTCAAATGTTTTAATATTAAAATTTAGAGAGAGTGTTGACAAATATTTTTTATTAGTCTGCCAGAAGATGTATAAATTTTATGCTCATTTTCTATATTTTTCAAGATGATGGCATATCAATAGACATTACTGAAATACCATTCAACCTTGTTTAATACAATTTTTATAATAAATATATTTAATAAAGGAAAACTCATTTGCAGTTTTATTGTCCAAAGATATTTGTTGTCTTAGTATTTTGTTATATACTTCTAGTTTTTATTATATATGTGTACTTTTTGCAATCTTTATAATGATTTGCGTTAATGTAATATTTTCCATTTAATTGTGATATATTTTAAGGAAAAATCAGACCAGAAATTTCAGAAAAATTATCCATCCCTCTTTTGGCTAATAGAAAAATTATTGAATCAGTGAATGATATTAAAAGTTTTAAAAGTATGCTCTTTCAGAAGAAACATTAATTTCTGAATATATTCTTTTATAAAAATAATGCCTACAAGTAGAAATAGGCCTATGCGTTTCTTCAAATGTACTTGTCACCAGGTAGATAATTGCCTTTATATTCTATTTCTGTGGACTACAAAAAGTAAAGGGAAAATCAGCTGCTTTTCTTCTTTTGAAACTTTTTAAAACAATACTTTAAAATCTGATCTTAAAGAATGTGTTAACTCTATAATTAAACTGTCTGACTTGTCATCTAAAAGTAAGAGTTTGCAAGCAAACTATCACTTGGATAGATGTGGCAGCTTAAGTAATGCTTACATTTAAAAACCTGTCTCTTACTGAATTGCTGAAACAGTGTTTAAACCCTTTATAGCCAGATGACGTGTACTACTGCGGAATAAAGTACATCAAAGATGATGTCCTCCTAAATGAGCCTTCTGCAGATGCCCCAGCTGCTCGCTACCAGACAATTGAGGAAAATATTAAGATCTTTGAGGAAGATGAAGTTGAATTCATCAGTGTGCCTGTCCCAGAGTTTGCAGATAGTGATCCTGCCAACATTGTTCATGACTTTAACAAGGTGAGCCAGATGTCCTGAACTGTAAAAAGAGTGCAAGTTCTTTAATTTATGCTTTTTGTAGTTTTTCATATTTCCAGATTTATTCTACTTAGAGTTTATGTTTTATTTAAAAAATTGAACTTGGGTTTCTTCTGTCCTACAAAATAAAAACTGTCAACATTTGATGGGCTCATTAATTCTTTTTAAGTTCCCATCTACATTTTTCCCAACTGTTGAATGTTAAGTATTGCAGAAACATTGAAGTGAAAATACAGTTAATATTCTAAATTCTCCACATGGTTACAAAATTTTGTCATACTTCTTTCAAATTTTATCATATGTTTCATTTTTATTTTATCTTTTCCTCACTTTTAACACTTGATTCTAGATACATAAAACTGTGATCTCTTAAGAATGAGGACATTATCTGCATAACCACATAATTATCACATCTAAGAAAATTAACATAATGTAGTATTATTTAACATTCAGTTGATATTTAAATTCCCCCAATAATTTTTGTCCCAAGAATGTTTTGTTCTTTCAAACCAGGATGTAGAAGTTCTCATATTACCTATAGATGTTAAATAAGTATATATTTACTATTTTGAACATGTAGACATATCCTGAAATTGGCATTGCATTTTATCCCTGATAAAATACATCTGCTGAATATTTATAAGCCCGTTTGAAAAATTACTTACTTCATGATAATAAACCTTATCCAAAGCAAATAGTAAATAATAATAGCTAACACTTACTGAGCTCTTAAAATCTAAATGTTTGCGTGGTTTTGTTAACTCATTTTAACCCTCAAAACCATCCTGTTGACAGTCTTTCTCAACCAGGTTTTCTCACCTGAACCACAAGAACACAGACAATCATTAAATTGACTGGAGGATGTTAATTAGGGGACCAATGCATGAATTCGTGCACCTTGAAAGGAACTGTGGGCCCCGAGGCTGCGGTGGACACGGGCGTATCTCAGCCCATCCTCTGCGCTCCCGCACAGCCCCTCCTACGATGGCCCCTGGTCCCCTGTTTGCTGGCAGCCCTGCTCCCACTGCCGCCGCTCTTACACGCTGATGGTACAGAGCAATTGGGGCTGGTGCCAGCAGTGGGTGCAAGTGGGGCCAGTGCCGGCAGTGGGTGTGAGAGGTGGCTGCTGGCCCAATCGCCCCTCAGGAGCAGAGGGAGGTGGAGAAGCCCTGAAGGTTGAGTGGCGGCCCCGGCCCCGGCAGTAGGTACCAGTGCGACTGGCGCCCTTGCTGGTGCCAGCAGCAGGTGCCAGTGCCTGGTGGGACTCCAGTGCACTGGAGCAAAGAATTTTCAGTAACCATCAGAGGCTCACTCTGGTGACAGTGACTGGTGCCTCCCCCGCCTTGGTCTGGTGCCCCCTTTCACCTGATCCACCATTGTGTCATGGCCAACACCTGCCATGTTCCAAGCTCTGCCGCCTGCTGCCGATGCCTGCCATGTTACCTGGTGATCAGCACACATCATAATGCCCGGTTGTTTGGTTGTTCCACTGTTCGGTCTATTTGCATATTAGCCTTTTATTATATAGGATAGGATACTATTCCTGATGCATAGGAGAGAAGTTTATTTTTATCTACAATTGATGGATGCCTTGGAGGGCATTAGGACTTGTAAATAAGGGAACTAACTAAATATCTTAAATCAGATTATAGGTTATTTGCTGTTAATTTTAATAGCTTATTATAGAAACAAACCCCTGATAAGAATTTTATTTCCAACCTGGCCAGGTGGTTCTGTTGGTTACAGTGTTGTCCTCATACTCCAAGGTTGTGTTTCAATCCAAGTCGGGGCACATACAAGAATCAGTCAATGAATGCATAACTAAGTGGAACAACAAATTGATGTTTCTTTCTCTAAAATGTTTCTTTCTCTGTACTTTCTTCACTTTCTCTCTCTAAAATTAATAAATAGATAAAATTTTTTAAAGAATTTTATTTTTTAATAGCATTAATTTTTCTTCTCCCATTACTATTTCCATTCTTATCCCAGCAAAATCTTGATTTATTGAAGTGCAAGTGATTTACATATTCTAAAGCCAACACATTTTAATGGTATAAATTATTCTTAAAAGTCCAGCTGTTGCTTGAGTTATAAATATTAATCTAACAAAAAATTATCTTTTTCTTCCCAGAAACTCACGGCCTATTTAGATCTTAACCTGGATAAGTGCTATGTGATTCCTCTGAACACTTCCATTGTTATGCCACCCAGAAACCTATTGGAGTTACTTATTAACATAAAGGTATACAATTTTGAAATATTTCTTATTAATGCTGCTGCTATAACATCTTGGAATTTCTTATTGAGAAACTAGCCCAAAAGGAGCCCATTTTACTGTAAATATAGCTGTGAGGAACTAGGGCTCATGGTTTTTTTTTCTTGTTTGTTTTTTTCTAATTCTGAAATTAAATATGTAACTTTTAAAATCATACTTAAGTTTTCAAGGGCCAGAGAATAAATAGAAGGCTTTTAAGAAATAAAATCTGTGTTACAACTACTCAATTCTGATGCCATTGACAATATGTAAACAAAAGGGCATGACTGTTTTTCAATAAAACTTTATAAAAACAGATGATGGGCAGTAGTTTGCCAGCCTCTATTCCAACGATAATCTGTAAGAGTTTTGTTTATTTTCCTTGTCCATTCAGTGTAAGCCTTGAGGTAATTCTTGTAATTTATTTTTTTCCAAATGTAGGCTGGAACCTATTTGCCTCAGTCATATCTAATTCATGAACACATGGTTATCACTGACCGCATTGAAGACATTGAACACCTGGGCTTCTTTATTTATCGACTGTGCCATGACAAGGAAACCTACAGACTGCAACGCAGAGATACCATTAGAGGTAGTAACTTTTTAAAGTGCTGGCAGAAAAGTTTTTTGTTTCACTTCATTGAGTTAAGCTAGATTTAGTATGTTTGCCATGAATGAGAAATAGAACTCTGTTCAATCGCTATATAATATTTGTAGATTTCTGAAGAATCATCTTAACTCTAAATCCACTCTTTTTAGAGAGAGAGAATAGGTGAATGTGAAATCTCATTGCCTTCAGCTGCTAGAAGGTTTCTTTCCATGTAGTCATCCAGGCCATGTTCCATCCCGTCTGGTACAGTCACATGGCCAAGGGTGTCTAGAGAAGCTGTTCAGGTGTATGCTCAGGCATCTGGATTCTAAGCATTTTGTTTTCCTTTTGATCTTGTTGGAGATAATCACAGTCAGGTAATACAAAGGAATTTGGCTGAAGAATTAAGAGCATTGACACAACTAATATAGCTTTGCCAAATCATTAAGCCTTTGTTTTCTCACCTAAAAAATAAGGATAACAGTACCTCCCCATTTCCTTTCAAGATCATTATAAAATAAAATGAAAGTACATGTGGCAGAGCTGTGGGAAAGCAAGAAGTGACATTCAGATATTAAGTTGTGATTTCTTTGGAACTGCAGCACCCAGTAAAAGTGCTTTCCTGGCTTTGGTTAGCATTTTTACTTACTTCACATGATGAGTCAGTCACCTGAAATCTGCTTGACTTCTTACATTTTTCAATTATCTAATGGTTCATAATTTTTTTTAAAGGTCAGATTATGCATATAATGAGATTCTCTCCTTTAAGTCTGAAGTTTCAACAAATCACCACCACAGTCAAGACATATTTCTAAGTAATACATATGGCATTATTGTTGTTACTAAGATCTGTTAAGACATTTAGTTCAGAAAAGAGAGAAAATTATTTTCTTTAATGTTAAAAAATCAAGCTATAGAATAGAATATAGAGTAGGATATTTTCATATGTCTAAATAAATAATAACTGTGTGGATTAATGTGAATATTTATGACTAAAGAACCAAAAATTTAACAACTTTTCCCTTCCAAACAGGTATTCAGAAACGTGAAGTCGGCAATTGTATCACAATTCGGCACTTTGAAAACAAATTTGGCGTGGAAACTTTAATTTGTTCTTGAACATTCAAGAAAAACATGGAGAAAAACTTAATCTCACAGCATAACCATACTCTTTGTATTTTGTGCAGTGATTATTTTTTAAAATCTTCTTTCATGTAAGTAGCAAACAGGGCTTCACTATCTTTTCATCTCATTAATTCAATTAAAACCATTTCCTTTTAAAAAACATTTTCTTCTTTCCAAGTGTGGTGTCTTTTATCTTTGAATTTAGTAGTTGTATAAAGTCATAAATCATAATACACTTCACCATATATCTTAGGTAGAGAGATTTTATGTTTTTGCATTTTCAAGAGGAGTGATTATCTAAAGGATAGTCACATAAATGGACCATTGTGACTTATTTGTAGTTGTTAGTTGCCCTGCTACTTAGTTGTTAGAGCATTTAAGCACAAAATTTAATCTTTCTCTAATTAAAATATGCAGTATTTTCAGTGTCATATTTAACTCTTTAGAATATAATTTCCACTTCAGTGTTTTAATATCGTAGGCATCTGCTGTAATAATATTTTAGAAAATGTTTGGAATTTGAGAATTAACTTGTGTTACTAATTTGTATAACTCATATGTGCAATGGAAAGCATAAATATCACAAAATTATTTGACTAAAGGCCTGTGTGTTGTTTTTCCCATATAATAAAAATAAAAACAATTTGGTTCTTTGTATCTTAAGATATATTCCATGTAAAGGAAGAAACTATTTTTAAAAATATCTAGTTTTCTATATGCAGTGAGTAAAAAAAATTTTTAAAATAAGCTTTTAAAATAACTATATACTTCATTAGTACTATTAAAGTAATACCTAAGACTGAACCTTGAAAGTTGCTGCTTAATACATTTAAAAATAATTCCTTTGTATTTAATGGAAGGGTTGTTACTAAACCTAAGATTTCCAAGTAGCATAAAAATACAGTGCTTTTCTGATGCTGTCTCCTCGCAAGTGGAATGCTTTGAATTATAGTGATGATTTTTAAATCTCTAAAGTTGCTTCCTATGTGAATTCAGAGAATCCACCACCATTTAAAATACCTAAGAATAATTTTGTTGCAAATTTTCAAGACGAAAAAAATTATTTCTGAATTTAGGAGGTCAGAATTTTTAAAGCTTCACAAACCATAAAGGATTTGGCCTAGAAACATTCTAGTTCAAAAGGATGTTATTTGCTTCTTGGCTCTTGGTTTCATTTCAGTAATGTGAGAGCTTTAGGCCAGCAAGTGAGTTATTCAGGGGTTGAGAATTTATTTTAGAAGAGAATGTTTTGATAAAATGAAAAATGCTTTTCCCTACCCTCCAGGCTCTAAAATTTCATGGTATTTTAGGAAGCTAAGAACATTTAAGAGCACATTAATTCATTCTGAGCATCCTTTATATACTTAGCATGAAGCATTAAGTTTTGAAGATACATCTCTAAAGAAGACCCTTGCTGCCTCTTTGGACACTCACGAACTAGTGAAATGCACTAATGAATAACAAACTAATTACAATACATCAGTGATCAGTACTCTAATGGGGAAGAACAGATCCAAGAGTGTAGGGAGCATTTAGGAGGGACAGTGAGATTTTTAGATTGTGAAGTGCATGGGACCAGGTCATACACCTAATGCATGCCCTCTGAGGACTTCAGTAGAAAATGGGCCCACTATTAAAGGTTTGTATTTTGGAAGGAGCATTTTCGTTTCTCTTTTCTACTGATAATAGTAATGCTATATATTGGGATAGACGAACTACTCTTTAACAATTGTAGCATCTCAGCAGCTTCATAATATTCCAGTGGCAGGCTCCTCTTTCCCAGGGATCCAGACTTCTCCACTTTGTGACAGTGCCAGCTTTAAATCTCCAAACTTGCCATGGAAGGAGAGGAGCTAGGATAGTAGATTCTGCAGGGGTTTGATGGTCAGGCCTGGAAGGGATATATCACTTACCATTTCCATCAGCCAGTACTCAGCCAAACCATTCTCAGCCAATGGTAAGGGAGATGGGAAAGTGTAGTCATGCATGTTAGGAAGAAAATCCAAATGCTTTGCTGGGCACATAGCACTGTCATTGCCACTAATGGACATTACAAATGAATGAATGAATGATAAAATTAACTAGAAAAGAAAAATCACCCAGAAAAAAATCACAGGAAGATTTTGAGTATGTTTAATAACCTATGTGATCCTATATAATAAAAGCCTAATATGCTAAATGTCTGACTGTTCATTCGACCAGTCGCTATGATGCACACTGACCACCAGAGGGGCAGACGCTCGACAGGTAGGTTAGCTTGCTGCTGGGGTCTGGCCAATCGGGACTGGGTAAGATGGGCCGGACACACTCTGGAGCCCTCCCACTGGCCAGCCAACCTCACATGGTCCCTCCCCAGCCCCAGTTGTGCACTGGTGGAGTCCCTTGGCCTGGCTTGTGCCCTCTTGCAATCCGGGACCCTTCGGGAGACGTCAAGAGAGCTGGTTTCAGCCCAATCCCCGCAGGCCAGACCAAAGGTCTCCACTGGTGCACAAATCCATGCACTGGGCTTCTAGTCCTATATAATAAAAGGCTAATATGCAAATCGATTGAACAGCAGAACTACTGGTCACTATGATGTGCACTGACCACCAGGGGGCAGACAACACAGGAGCTTCCCCCTGGTGGTCGGTGCACTCCCATGGAGAGAGCTTTGCTTAGCCAGAAGCCCTGAGCTGGGGTCACGGGCTGGCTGGTGAGCACAGCAGTGGTGGCGGGAGTCTGCAGCAGCACTAAGGGTGTCTGACGGACGGCTCCCGGACTGCGAGAGGGTGCAGGCCAGGCTGAGGGACCCCCTCTCCGGTGCACAAGTTTCGTTCACAGGGCCTCTAGTATTTCTATAACAGCAATACATTCTTAGTATCAGCTCACTTGTTTTGAGGTTTCTTGTTATTTTGGTATAGAGACACTAGATTTTTTCTATATGTTGTCTTTATATTTAAAGTGGGTTTCTTACAGACAATATGTAGTTAGGTTGTGTTTTGAGTCACTGACAATCTGTCTTAATTGGTGCATTTAGAACATTGACATTGAAAGTAATTATTGATATAGTTGGATTCTTGTCATATTTTCAATTTATTGCCATTTTTTATTCCTATTTTTGTCTTTTGCTCTTTTTCTGCCTTTTATGGTTTTATTCAAGCATTTTATATGATTCTACTTTTCCTCTTTTCTTAGTATATCAATTATACTTTTAAAAAAGTCTTTTTGTTCCCTTGCCTGGTAGTTGGAACATCATCCCATACACCAAAGGTTGTGGGTTTGATTCCCCGTTAGAGCACATACCTGAGTTGCTGGCTCAGTCCCCAGTTAGGGCCCTGTCAGGAGGCAGTGGATAATGGATGCGAAAACGCTTTGTGTGGCCAATTAATGCTTTTTGTGAACTCACTGCTCTCTCAGTAAGAAACACTGACCTTAATTTTTAATGCAAATTTTTTCCTCTTTTTCTATTTTTTAGAGTCTTCACATCCATATTAGTAAGTGGGATGCAAAAAAACAAAACCCATAAAATAAAACAACAAAAACCTCCACCCTGTTCTAAATGGTAATTATCTCATAGCAGAAGTGGGACTACAGAAGACAAACTCAAAGGCAGTTTAATAATGTAAATTAAAAGGTCCTATTTCCACATTTGAATGCAGTTATGAGTTAATGCTGGCTGAATCTGTAAGATTCTGCTGCTAGTGCACATTTAATAGTTCACTAGATACACACACACACACACACACCCTTCTGCCTAGTGGAGTATTGCCCATAAATAAACAAATCCTACTCGGTGTTGGACACCAATCCTTCCATGTTTAACTCTTTGAGACTTTGTTTTCTAGATAAGGACTTCATGTGAATCTATTTATAAAAAGGACAACCCCTCCTCTCCACAAGTTACAGAGCTCTCAGTGTGCTGAATGTTTCTTCCAAAGTCAATGCATCCATCTTATTCTCTGGGTCTTTCTCAAAGTTAACATGAGGAAGAAGTATGTTTAGTCTCAACTCTCTTAGTATTGATCATTCTTAGACTTTGATCAAATATGAATCAAAAGATATTTTGGAAGTATTTTCTGTGGATTCTACTCTTAATTCTTCCAACCTATTACAGATGACTAATGCGAAGCAAAATGGGTGGGAGACGGCCCTTGAGTACTCAATATCCAAGTCATTCCAATTGACCTAGGATAAGACAATCTTAGCTCTCCTCACATTTTTAATTTTATGGCATTTTCTATGTTCATGTTTTAAACATTTACATTTTTATAAAAGTCAAATAGTTGATAAAAAATGAACGGCTTCCCTCTTTCTACCATTCTCTCCAGTCCTGTTCTCCAAGGTAGACCACTGTTAACAGTTCAATGTAATTTATAGATGTCTTAGTTCTTGACTGAGTGAATAAAAAGATAAATGCCTTTCTCTGGTCAGGTGATAGGATTATGTTTAGGAAGACAAAACCAGAAATACTCTTCACAGTCACCATGTCCTCTACCTCCCAACATCTTTCTGATCTTAAGCAATCATGGCTTAACCCATTTTACAATATCTACTTCTCCATCCCTACAGTCCTTCACACTTCCAGTCAATAATCTTTCATAAATTTGATGTTTTCTCTATCACATCTATTAAAACATTTTCAGGGCTTCTCCTGGCTCTTAGGATAAAGACTAAACTAAGCTACTTAAGATAAACCACCTTGCCAACCTCATCTTAATCACTTTTCTCTTTGCACCCTGCCACACTTGCTATTTTACAGTTTTATGGTAAATCCTGTTCTCCATCCATTCTCCATTATGCCCTTTTAGATAGCTTCTAGTCAAGCTTTAGAATTTAGTTCATATTTCCCTTCCTCAAGGGAAACCTTTCCTGAAACAAGAAAAGTTCTCTTGTTTCACAGTTTCATAGCATTTCTCCATTTGTGGCATTGAATATAATTTAAGTTTTATATTTTATCATTGTTGCTTATTTGATCAATTTATTTACCCTACTTGATTCCTCAGTATCCTTAATAGAGTGCCCAGCACCTAGTTGGAGCTCATAATTGACTGAATCATTCCTCCCTGTAACATCTTGTCTCTATTCTGGATAATATAACATTTTCTAACCAGTTGTCTGGATGTCTCTTCCAAAATTTATGCTAGCTTTCTCCTAAAATTTATTCACTCTGAATCTGAGTAAATTGCCTTAAATAGAAATCTGATTGTCTTTCTTTTACAAAATTCTATGATGGCATTCTGTTGTACTTAGAGAAAAAAAATCTGAATTCCTTTCAAGCTCTAACATTCTTCTCTCAGTAGATTTTCAATACTTTTCTGTTTTTATCTTACCCTCTTCTTTGTGTTTTGGCCTTCATATAAGCTGGTGGCCCTCCTGAAACAGTTTTCTTTCTCCCTATACCCCATCTGCACAAAAAATGCATATAGTTAACTCTTACTCATTCTTCAGATTAAAAGTTTCCTCATAGAGAACATCATAACTCTATTATCTGTCTTCCTGAAACCTTTCATTAGCCTAGTGGTTTTCAACAGGTGTGTTGCAATATTTTTTGAAACATGAGATAACTAGTCAGGGTCAGTGACCTCTTTTCTCTTAAACTGTCAAATCAATAAAATTA